CGTCACGGTCACGGCACGTACATACAGCGGGTTTTTTTTTACCTAACCGGAAATTAGCAATAGAAGTGGTTAGAATGGTTAGGAAAAAGAAGACATCGAAGTTTACCTTAAAAGGGCTTGGCTTTCTGCTGCAGAATCTGGAGTCTCKTCTCTCTTTGCTTTGAGATTCTACAAAAACAAAAGTTATGTTATTTTAGAAAAAATGAGAAAACATTTCCACGAGTGGCGTTTCATTGGCTTACTAAATGCGCATTTTATTGGCTTACTACAGGTGCACTTCATTGGTTTGCTACAGGCGCACTTCATTGGCTTACTACAGGCGCATTTCATTGGCTTACTAAATGCGCATTTTATTGGCTTACTACAGGTGCACTTCATTGGTTTGCTACAGGNTTACTACAGGCGCATTTCATTGGCTTACTAAATGCGCATTTTATTGGCTTACTACAGGTGCACTTCATTGGTTTGCTACAGGTGCACTTCATTGGTTCACTACTAGCGCATTTCATTGGCTTACTAGATGCGCATTTTATTGGCTTACTAGATGGGCATTTCATTGGCTTACTACAGGCGCATTTTATTGGCTTACTACAGGCGCATTTCATTAGCTTACTACAGGCGCATTTCATTGGCTTACTAAATGCGCATTTTATTGGCTCACTACTGACGCATTTCATTGGCTTACTGCAGGGGCATTACATCGGCTTACTACAAGCGACTTTCATTGGCTTACTACAAGCGACTTTCATTGGCTTACTACAGGCGGATTTCATTGGCTTACTACAGGTGCACTTCATACCACAGGTGCACTCTACTGGCTTACTACAGGCGTTCATAGAATAAAAAGCGACGTCCAGGAATTCAAGAGGAATAAATTTACGCTAAATAAAACTAATCTTACCTGCGATTTTGCCATTAATTCACGGTTACGTTTCTTGATTTCTGTATTCAGAAAGATTTCCATCGTAAGTCTATGTCTAAATACTGCATGGAGTTAGTTTGATAAATATTTATTTAGTAATACCACAAAATCCTACCATAGTTCTGTTGCTTTACTTTGTCAAGTTTTCGCTGTGTTTCGGTGAGTTCCTGGGGAAAAAAATACACGTAATTATTTTTWWAAATGAAAAAAATATTTAAAGAAGGAAAAACATGAATTTCCTCCATGGTGGGGTGTGGAGGTTTTTTGGAATCACACATTGACTGAATAAGTTGTTATTAAATGTCAATGCCTTGTCAAAGGATTAATTAGTGCAGTGTAGTGCTGTATTCCATACCTGATGATTTTGGAGGATTTTGGAGGAGATATTGTCATTCTTGCAACAAATTCTAGCAAATTCACTAAACAACAGGGGAAATGATAACGAGGATAAATTTCAAATATTGTATATCCACATTTGCATGAAAAYTGTATACAAGGAACAAGATATTTTAGCTCTTATAAACAAAATAAATAAACAAAATAAGGTCCCAAGTTTATTCATTAGGCTGTGGGTACTGATAAATACCCCCATCTCCACCCCGAGACCTGTTGAAATGCTCAATGCTGGGTGTCTGTAGTGAATATTTCAGCTATACATGAATATGTTGTTTAGCACACATATAGACAGACAGTACATCTATTTCTGTAATTTGACTTTTYGTTTTGATCATATTTGAGGTCCAGGATCCAGGATTTCACTTCCAGAGGTGGTGGATAACTGTAACACCACCCTTAACCTTAATTTGTGCCAGTAAGATAATGATAATGATAATGRTTTATATAGCGCCCTTTCTATGTGACTATAATCAAAGGCGCTTTACATTGAGTGAATGACAGATTGCTTTTATGCAATTTACAAGCATGAGAGATGGTTAGTATGAAGTGTAGGCACTGAGGGTGGTCACTGCCAGAGTTTCTTTACGTCCTYAGTGGTTCTTTTATGTCCYTCCTATGTTGGTTAGTAATGATGAGTGTGGAGAGACGGGACCRYCATTTAAAATGGTCATCCGAGCCACTTGAAAGTCTAACCATTTGCAGATATAATTACAAAGGCAGCACCTTCTCYTCAGTTATTTCAAGACCCTGAGTGTTGGTCCGGCCAGGACTYGAACCACGACCTCCCTCATGAAAGTCTGATGCCCAACCAACTGAGCCRACTGGTTGGTGATTRAAGATGACAGTTGTTTTGAAATTATTCAATGCTACTCTCATAAAGCAACAAAAATCTAAACTAGAAAAAAATATCTTGGTAGTGGTATTGAAATGAAACCTCATGCAAACAGCCTATTGCATTTAAAACTGCTAGTCTTTATGCCCTGGGTTTTGTCTCATTAATCTATCCCTTACTTCATCTTTTCAATATCTTCTTGATTAGGATGCTCTGTGAGAATGTCTGGAAAAAGTATCTTCAGAAGCATATCCCCTTGAAGTAACCTAGACAAAATTGAAAAATTGCAGCAGTTAGTATTAAGAATTTTCTTATATTAAGAGGTATCGGACAAAGACCAGAATCGTCCAAACAAAGGGAGTCCACTTTTAAAAGAAAAGAAAAGAGTGACWTAAAAGAAAAGAGTCAGATGAATGGAATGAAAATAAAAACCAATAGCAGATGTCAGAGTTACACTCTATTGCCTTCAAACAATTGTTGCATTTGGGTCAGTTTCTATACATTTATTGTATCGACCCAAATGCCTCTCCTTGAAACGATTCAAGGCAATAGAGTGTAACTATTGATGATGTTGATAATGGTGTTGCCAGTGCTGTTACTGTTGCTTACCGTTCAAGAACAAGCTTTCCATAAGACTTATTTGATGCAATATTAAACAAWTCCTCTTGTAACTTTGTGATTCTACAAAAAAGAAATAATAAAATAATGAACAAACATCTCACGGTCCTGAATAGTCATATGCACAAAATTATTTCAAAGAARTAAACAAAAACCATCCAAGAGGACCAACTCTCTTCAAAGTTCATTTTATGCACATGCATTGGTGGTTTCAAGATTTTATGGACCAAAAATTATAGACAGCACATGCACTCCCTCCCCATCCAATCAAATTCAATATCATATGTACCTTTCACAAAGATCTGACACATCACCACCATCACTGGAAAATGTTTGCAGGTCTTCTGTCTGCTGTAATCGACCTATAGATTGTATATAGCCACCAATGAAAACACTAAATCATTCAAAAACAACCAAATCAGGGACATGTCTGGGGCTTCTTATCAGAGGGGGTTTACTTTCTACTATCCTTAGCCCCAATTCCTCCCCCTCCCCCCAAACAAAAATTAAAAGGATTCCAGGCACCCATTAACCACTCTATATAGCATCCCCTCACCTCCCCCCCCTTCCCCAAACAAAATTGATAAGGATTCCAGGCACCCATTATAACCACTCTATATAGCATCCCCTCACCTCCCCCCCCTTCCCCAAACAAAATTGATAAGGATTCCAGGCACCCATTATAACCACTCTATGTAGCATCCCCTCACCTCCCCCCTCCTTCCCCAAACAAAATTGATAAGGATTCCAGGCACCCATTAACCACTCTATATAGCATCCGTTCACCTCCCCCCTCCCCCCAAACAAAAATTGAAAGGATTCCAGGCACCCATTAGCCACTCTATATAGCATCCCTTCACCTCCCCCCCCCTCCCCCAAACAAAATTGATAAGGATTCCAGGCACCCATTAACCACTCCATATAGCATCACCTCCCCCCAAACAAAAATTGAAAGGATTCCAGGTACCCATGAACCCCTCTATATAAGCATCCCTGTGGAAAACACTTAAATGATGGGAAAGAACTTCAAGACCAAAATGTGTATTGTTCTTACATTTGATCAGTTCTGTGTTATAATCAATCTTCTGCTGACCAAGCCACAACCTACACCTACAGCAAAGGATAGAAAGATACGGTGTATTTTAATCTAAATGCAATTATAAGGTACTCTTTGCAAGGTTAAGCTTACATGCTTCTTATATAAAATCTATATTTTTATATTATATATATATGTTTTTATCTATCTAGAATATTTATATTTTATTTAAACTATACTTGATGTATAACATAAATAAGCATTTTTTAAGATTGTACATTCATACTATTTATATATTTTTATGCTGATGTGATGCGATGTACGCTTTATCAGTTAACAAAGTAGAAGTAGAAATCAAAACATATCAGAAAGATACGAGTTTTGGGAGTTGCTGTTGGGCAACGACAACAACAGCAACAGAAACAGTAACAACAACAACAACAACAACAGTAAGGTATTATTAGACTACCTTCTCATCGCACTTATCCCTTCATTATCTGTCTTATCATCCGACATTTCTTCCATTTCCTGATCCGACGAGCTTTGCTCTACTTCGCTCGAGTCGTTTATCACAGGATTTCTTGTAGATATTGGTGCTAAATCTTCTTTTCCTTCGAGGYCTAGATCTTCTGCTCGTGAAAATGAATTTGCCGCCATTTTTGTTTTCTACTCCTCACCAGTTCATTTTCGGTCTATTTCAAGAGAGAGATTATTCAAGGGGAGGGGGGGGGGGTACGGATTGGTAGATTAAGGAATGTTCCAAATTAAAAATAAATACTTGAATAAATAACCCAAGACATCATGGAAATTATCTCATACGTATATTAAACATATTATGAAAAGCCTGCTGAAAGATTTTTCAAGAGAAAAAATATATTTAAAGAAAGAGGTAAAAGCTACTACTCACTAGCCCCCCCAACGTCGTGTTGTCATTGGTATCCAAGATGGCGTCGTTCAGTGAGCAAGCAAGAATGAAAGAGCTGTTTAATAAAATGACTCTTGGCGTTGTTCGCTCGTTAGGTCAGTAGAAAACCATCTTCACATACTCAGGAACTCAAACAGACGTTTGTGATATTTRAAAAATGAAAAAAATTGAACGAGAACTGTCTCGAAAAGCATCAAATCATGAGCCTTGACAACAATGTTTTGGTTTTTGTGTGCCTCTCGTTTAGAAAATAGGCCAGGAGTGACTGAAGTACGATTACTCGATAGAAAACCAGCTGCAAAATCAATTATTGATACATGGGAACAGGTAAGGAAAGATAAATTTTGTGGAAAGGTAGACGTAGTTTTACTCTAAATTATATCATGAGCCAATATTAAGCTTTTTTGTACTGATGCTTGGCTGTAATGCTTGATTGTTGTAGAGCAACATGTGCATTCTTCCTCAAGACATACGAAGTTTCTTCCTGACATCTAATGGTCTTTTAATACAGTGGTGTGTTAAATTTGGGGGTAAGCATGCAACTTATTTTCAAAAGTTTATAACCTTAACTTTTTTGCAGAATTTTGTGTAATTTCTAGAAGCTAAAAATATCCCTTAGGTACACTTAATTTTTTTAGTATTTTAACTTAATACAATAATGAAAGTCTAAGCTTAATATTTTATTGACTAAAGCATTACTTTATATAATTTGCCATCATTAAAAACACAGACTAAAAAACAAAAACCCTAGAATCGAGGCAGAGTCTCAACAAATTCTACTCTTTTGTATATGATGCCGAGTCCAGGAATCAAACCTCACAGATAATAGGCATGTTCATCTTTGTCTGCCCAGAAGCTAGTCTAATCAAATCTTTGCCCTGCCAGTCATTCTGATCAGTAACATTGAACCAGAAACTAGGTATGACTGAGGTAAAACTAATTTGGCTGGTCATCATGTCCAGCAACTTACAGGCCATTATATTAAGCCCTGCCATGTTGAAGTGAAGATGAAAATCTTGATTAATGATTTAATGAATAAATAAATGGATTTTTCTCAGGGAACATGTTTCCACTTGGAAAAATGGAAATCAACTCAGTCGCTGGGCTTATTCCACTGACTAAATCCCAGACACCTGCTGATGATAATCCATCATTACTAGATGTTGATAGCCTGACTGATGAAGAAGATGAACAAGGTATAGATCATACATCACATGTCTCAGTCCTCATTGGGCTTCCTGTGGTGAATATAGTATACTTCAGGGCCTGGTTGTACGAAGYCTGGATAGCTCTATCCGATGGATGACTCTTATTGAGTGGATAAATTTATTGGATAACAGCATCGACTTATCCACTGAATAAGGATTTATCGCCGGATAGCACTATCTAGGCTTCATACAACCGGACCCAGTTTCAAATTTGTCTATTGGTTTGCCTTAGCCTTGATATTGTGGAGAGTATGTGTGTATTGTTGAATTTGTGCATTCTTTTATACCTTGCCATTGGTATCTGTGAATACTTTGATGTTGGAAATAAAGCTAACCCTGTCAAGTAAATAAGTATGCATAAGTAATCAAGGAATGCTCAGTGTACCAAGGAATACCAAAAAAGAGGCTATTGAGGATCGATCAGTTTGTTGATAGTTTGAATTCAGCAAAGTAAAACAGCAAAAATGAAATCGCAAAAACATGCCCAATGTACTCAAACTGATAGAACTGTATAAATAATTTTACTCAAGGGGATGTGTGCAGGGGTAGCGCACCCCCCTCCCCTAGATGAGCTGATATCTAATGTATTATTGGTGTTTGAGTTTGTAAGCAAAAAGGGTGCACCCCCACCTAAAATGAAAATCCTGGATTCGTCCCTGTTGCACCACACTTTTTATGATTTGACAAGTACAACCTTTTCATGATTTTTGTATTTTGTATTATGTTGTTTATGTGTCACGATAGGTCACGTGAAGCCTCATTTTGACAATAGATGTAAAGTATTTGAAGTTGATCCATGTGATGGAAGTGGAAAGGTCTGTTTAGTCTATAAACATATTAGAGCAGGTAAGYTAGTGTGATATAAACTTGTGAATGCTAATTTCAAGATTGGCCCACATTCGCATAATCAATCTCTCTCATAGATACACTACCACTACATGCAATACAGTATTCTGTAGATACAACTCTTAACTCAAATGTGGATTTTTGATCTTTTTGGAGAAACGAAAAACTGGAGAAAAAGCCTCATGACAAGGGAGAGAATGCCCCCATCACTGGAAAATTTTGAAATAGGGCTAAATATTCCAAAAAAAAAATCTTAAGTGGGGTTGTGCTAAAGCCCCACCTCCATGCTCCCTGATAGCTTTTTCGTTAAGATCCAATTGCATTAACAAAAGTACACATAGTTGTCAGACCCTCACTCACCRCCCAGAGGGGCCTGACCTACCCCCAAGATAATGGAAAAATCATTTAATATGCCAAAGGGGGGATGAAGATTTATCCACAAAACCTTATTTTTTTACAGGCCCCCCTTTAGTACTAAACTTAATTTTTGAAGCCCCCCCAAACGATGCTCCCCCTCGAGAGCCCTCTCATATGTATGACAAATGTTTAGAGGCCCCCTTTTATGGTTGCCCCTCACCCCAYATCTTCATCCCCACCCTCCCTCCTAATATTACATAATTTAATATCAGCATAATGAATGACTTTTCCCTAAGAGAATGCTTTTATTTTGGAACTACTCAGTAAGCATAATGGTTTATTTAATTGTTTCATCAGGTGTGACAACAAGTCAGCCAGAGGTATGGTTTTTAGATCGTTCTCTGGAATGGTCCTTTCTTGCCAACAATTTTTCAGACTACTTCAGGATGATGATCACCCATCTTGGCTTACCATTATGGCAGTACATTTTCACAAGCACTGGCATTAGCCCTGAAACTAAGGTATGTTATTTTTAATCCTTACTTCAATTCTGTTACTGTAACAATTTCACTGGCAGCAGAGCAAAGAGAAATTGGAGGGGTATCTGAAATAGTTTCATTTTTGTCCACTTCTTGTTGTTTGGAGCTGTAGGCATCCAAGCAGTGTCGAGGTGGGCTTCCTGTGCTGTTGTTTTTATTTAGTTCTTTTCCATGTCCAAAGGATTTYGTGGCAAAGTGTTAGTGATTGTGGGCTATTGAGGGAGAGGATGTTGGTGGTTTTCTTTAACTCTTTTTGGTTTCAGAAAGGTTTGGTCAGTTCTTGATCCCACATAGGATGTGACCAGGTTTTGGTGTCCATTTCTGTGTGTGTCGGGGGGAGGGGAGGGGGATTCAGGTGAAGGGGGTGAGATCTTGGTGTAAGTGTGTATATATTTCAGAAAAAGGCATTAACCTGAGTTCAATAATTGGAATTTGGAAGACAGAGAAAAATAGAAAAATAAATTGGATCGATATAAGAAGAAAAGTTTTAAGCAATMATTTCATTTTATTTCCTAGCAATGGTTTAATCTTTATGCTCCAATGCGCTTGGCAATTGACACAGAATTCTCAACTATCTGCGATGAAATCTCATCAGGTGAAGGCAATCCTCTGAACAAACTTGATATCAATAGACTATTTAAAGGAAAGGTTGATAAGAGTAGAGGGCGACCACCACAAGCCAAGAAACCACAAGGAACTAGAACAAGTCATACTCGCACAGGACAAAGAGGAGTTACCAGATGAGAAATTTCTCAGGTTTTCATTTGTCGGGGTTTATCTTATGTGCATAAAACTTTGATGGCTGGAAATCTGAGTCTACAAAAATTCTAAAGCTCTTAAATTATTACTTAACATCATCACTTCAGTACTCACTTYGATGAGCTAGTACTGTCTAGATTTTATGATAAATCCATTATTTATTTTGTAATGTAATCAAAGCAGTATATAAATATCTGGAATGTATTAAATAAATTTATAAGTATCCTAAACATTTATTATTACAGCCTGTTATGAACCATGGGCTTTGACAATGAAATTAGTACAAAATTCAATATAAAAAGGGGGGGGGGGTGGATAGTTTCTGGAAATTGGTTCTATCCTTTGCTTTGAGGATTTTTCTCCAGTTTTTCTCCCTCTGCGAAAATCGACTTTTGAATTCAAATTGGAATTCAGTGAAGAAAGGCTACTGTTAAATCCCATTTATTATTTATTTATTTATTAATAGAGTATCAAAAAATTATAAACAATATAAACTTACATTAAACTCTATTAATCTATAAATAATATTTCTTTTCCTAAAACTTTTAAATACACTCACAATGTCATATATATATTTACCATTTGAGAACTACTATATTTAAAGTTTTGTATAAAACTGAGACTTTTGACCATAAAAAAGTACAAAAAAAAAAAAAAAGTTTAAAAAATATTACTTAAAGCTCAAATAATCTATTAGTAACCATTAAAAAACTCTTGTATGACAAATTGCAATAAATCTTACATGCATAAGAATTTTTTGAAAAACACCAAACATCTACCTTTAAAAAATTGAAAATAAACCCTTGTAGTATGTTAGAGGATGGGGGCATCAGAAATTGGTAAACTTGTTAATAGTTTATGAAAAGACTGAAGAAGAGGGCCAATGGGCCTTTCACAACTTCAAGTTGCATGAAAAGTGGGCCAGCTCAACTTGAGACCGTGGACAGCTGTTTTGGCCTGTATTGGGCCTCATCAGCACGTTGTTTCTAGTGAGCTGGTAGAATAGTTCTATATTKGCAAAGCAATGAATTTAAAACTCTTAAAACAATTTTAGAAGAATTCTGAGCAAAAATCGGAGGCCCCTTTCTTTAGTTTGTAATTCAAGGGCAGAATAGTTTCCCCCACATCTGCTTTCATTGCCGCTTTCATTGTTGTCATTCAACGCTTTTTCCCCTGAGTACTATGGGAGAAAGCGTGGCGTGACGACACTGAAAGTGGCTGTGTGGGACACTAAGGGTGGAAGTGAATGAAAAATCTAGATCCTTCATTTTTTAAACTTTCTCTCTCTTATAGATAATAAATAGTATTTTCTGGACCTATGTGTAAAAGGTATATTCTATGTTGATTCACTCATCGCTGCTATCAATGCTTTCTTCAGTCAATAGACGAGTTTCGAATTCCAAATTACCACTGTGTTCCTTGATTACAGACTCATTTGCACAGGGTTAGCCTCGTATCAGTGTTTAAATATTCACAAATACCAACAGAAAAGTAAAGAATGCACAACTTCAACGATACGAACATTTTAAAACTCGATGGACCTTGACTGGAACACGTGAATATTCTGCACAAACTTGAGGCTAACCCTGTGCAAATGAGTCTGTAATCAAGAAACACAGCRGTAATTTGGAATTCAAAAGGGGTCTATTGATTACAGTATTTGGCTAACTTGCTTCTAATAGCACTGTTGAATCACTCACTGCTGCTATCAATGCTTTCTTCAGTCAATTCATTACAGTATTTGGTTAATTTGTTTCTAATAGCACTGTTGAATCACTCATCACTGCTATCAATGCTTTCTTCAGTCTATTGATTACAGTATTTGGCTAACTTGTTTCTAATAGCACTRTTGATTCACTCATCACTGCTATCAATGCTTTCTTCAGTCAATTCATTACAGTATTTGGTTGCCTTGCTTCTAATAGCACTGTTGATTCACTCATYGCTGCTATCAATGCTTTCTTCAGTCAATTCATTACAGTTTTTGGCTAACTTGTTTCTAATAGCACTGTTGATTCACTCATCGCTGCTATCAATGCTTTCTTCAGTCAATTCATTACAGTATTTGGCTACCTTGCTTCTAATAGCACTGTTGATTYGTCTCAGTCCATACTGCCTTTTCCTGAGTTCTTTTCTGCAAAAAAAAAAACAACACCAAATTATCTGGGGGCTTAAGATACTCCTGGACTTCGCCACCCAAGAAGTGGTCAAAGATACCCCTAGATTTCAACACCTAAAAGGAGGTCAAAGGTACCCCTGCATTTTACCATACAAGAAGGAGTTAAGGTATCCCTGGATTTCAGCACCCAAGAGGGGGTCAAAGTTACCCCTGGATTTCAACACCCAAGAAGTGGTCGAGGATTTCCCTAGATTTCAACACCCAAGAGAACGTCAAAGGTACCCCCGAATGTCACAACTCAAGAATGGGTTCATTTACTATCAAATGTCATCAGAACATGTATTTTAGATACATACTTCTTTTTCTTCATATGCAAAACAAAATCATCTTCTATCTCTTCCAGCTCTTCTGATTTTGAGTCAGAATCTTCTTCAGAACTAGATATATGTCTTTTCCTTGGTAAGGAACTGTTTGAAGAACTTATGGATTCACACTCGCTTTCCCAGCTGAAGTTTGACCCACTATTGCTGCTCTCTTCTGAATCACTTAGGGAAGATTCTGATAGACTAAAGTCATCATCATTTGGGTCACTGCTGTCACTGGTTGAAGATACAGCACTCTGACTAGAAAAGGATCCAGAGCTGCTTGACGGTCTGGAGGTGGGGACATGCAAATGGACAAACTATGAATTAGCAGCTCAAGAGTAGGATGTATGTTATGCAAGGACTGCAAGGTAGGGGCTTGGGATGGGGCTAAAGCACCCTTACACTTGGATAATATTTACAAAATTGTCAAGGCTCGGCCTCACACTTTTACTGTGATTCTCAATATTCTGTGAGCTCTGTTGGCTTTTTACTGCCACCAAAAAAAATTTAAAAGGTGTCGAGTGATTAGTTTTCATTGATGGCAGCTAAAACAAATTTCACAACAAGCCATTGAAATGTCTGAGTTTGCAGAATATTGAGAAATGCAAAAGCCTTGGGTATACAATCCTGCTTTTTTTCAAATCTAAGCCACCAACACGCTGATTGAGAAAACAGTTGCAAAAAAGAAATAGGACAATACACTGCCGCCAATCAGAGAATATAAAGTACAGACCAATTTATCTGATTGACGGAAGTGTGTTGTCCAATTTCCCTGTCGCGACTGTTGTCTCGATCAGCCCATAGCACTGAAAAGAGTGGTAATAATTAATAACTGACCTATTTCTTTTTGATGTTTTGCTTCTTCTGATACTAAATGTCCAATCTTTCGTAAGTTGTTCATCTAAATATGATTGCAACAGACCACCAATGTCTTCCAAGGGAACCAATAAAGTTTTTAGGTAATAAAGGTGGGTCTTATCAACATGGCCAGCTTCTTCTTCATCATCTGTTGACCTTGTAGACTAGGATTTATGCAATAATAATCAATGATGAAAATGACAATATTGATGATGACGATGTTGTTTATCCTGATCAACCCACACCATATGATAAGATGTAAGTTGTTGACAAGAAGTCTGGTTGGTAGGTGGTTGGTAGGTGGTTGGTAGGTGGTTGGT